ATCCATGCTACAACATGGATGTACCATGGAACCTCAATCGCCAGGGATCTCAAAAAACTTTGTATGGACGGATATATATGTTTTTGTTGAACTAGGTAGAGGACATTGAGACGAATATTTGGAAANTGAACTTCTTTACCACACAGCACACCATCAATAATTTCTCCTAATTATACAAAATAACCTATTAATGGGTATTAATTGGGACCAATTGTTTGTCTATCAGCATTTAAATAATTTTTTGATTATATTCCAATCATTTTTGGCCCATTTTTCGCCTTAAAATGACATCCATGCACATCCATGCTACATCCATGCTACAACATGGATGTACCATGGAACCTCAATCGCCAGGGATCTCAAAAAACTTTGTATGGACGGATATATATGTTTTTGTTGAACTAGGTAGAGGACATTGAGACGAATATTTGGAAAGAAAAAAAAATCTAAATCGGTCCAATAATTTTAAAGATATTCGTGAAAAACGATTTAAAAACGAATTGCTTTATCTCAAAAACTACTTGACCGGTTGGGCTGAAATTGTACACAGAGAGAGAAGCAAAAAGGATAAAATCAAATCCGTTGAGTATTTTATGAGATATTTAATTAAATATATTTACACATAAGATGGCATATCTCAGAAATCGTGTGGCCTATTGCACCCATCCAAATTATCAACCATTAGTATCATAAGAGCTAGGATCATATCAAATTTTAACATACCATCTCCATTTTTCTCAAGTTATTGTGTGTACAAGACAAGATTTTTCCTGAAAAAACGGAAAAACGGAAATATTTTCAAATTTTATGTCAAAGTGTATATATATTTTGACTGCTTTAGATAGAGGCCATCCAAACGAGTATTTTGAAAAAATAAAAATTGCTATCAGTGCAGTACTTTTTGAGATATTGAGGAAAGACGAAAGTTCAACATGTTGCTATATTTCAGGAACTACTGGACCGATCGGGCTGAAAGAGCGCGCTAAAGTTGAGCTTAATCATAGCTACAATGAGTCAAAATTTCAGATTTTTATCCACAAATTTCACTGTATTTATGCTGAATTTTTTAAAAATTAATCACCAAAAACCGAAGTTGTCACATACATACACACAGACATAACCCTAAAAACATTATTTCTTCACGTTTCATAACATTCTAGACCATTTGCAATCAAAATTCGAAAATCGAAAAATCGGTGAAATACAAGGCTTCCATCGGAAGCACAATGACAAAAGATCAGTTCTATACAAAAGTAAATGCATGTAAACTGTAATAATTGTAATGATACTGGTGGCATTCTGATAACTTCGCGATTTTTTTTTTAATGAAAAGAATTTATCGATAAACGCAATTCAAAGGCTGACAGTTACAACAAATATCCTAGATGTCCTCACAATCATTCTTCTCCTTTCTGTATCCGTCTATACTATATTAAACTTGTATTCCGACCACCATTCGAATACTACGGTGAGTCGTCTACTTATTGGCGCGGGTAGCTTTGGCGTTGTGTGACCCCGCCCACCAGGTGGCCGTTCGAAAGTCTGTAGTTGTGTAGTGTTCTTACGTACACGACACAGCAGACCTTTCTCTGTGTTTCCAACATCTCATTTGAAACAGTGAAGAGCTGTAAAGAAACCTAAAAATAATTATCTATCCTTCATCGAGAAATGGAGAAATAAGTTCATTAAAACGTCATGAATATGTAATCAACGGGAAAACCTTTTCTTTTTTTATGGTGGATCAGAAGGGAAATATTGTGAATCAAAGTCGTCTGGTGGAGATCTGCCAGCAGGTGAAGTACGACAGGGGGGTAGGAGTGGTTTAAAGACGAAGGAAAGTGCGTGAAATTAGTCTAATAACGTACATAATCAATCGAAGAGAATAAAGTGTTCAAAAATCAGTACATAAAAAAGGAAAAAAATTTTGAATCTTGTGAGACGTGTTGCGAAAAAAACGGTTTTTCAAGTTCCCATCGTCACCCATTGGGAGCTACAGTTGTTACATTAACCTCATCATTATTCAAACTCCATTAATTCATCGATAATTTAGTTATTCGGTGATTGTGAATGGATTCAACGAGGATAATTGACTGATATAAACGAGGAAAAAAAGAAAAAATCTGAGTGTTTAATTGACTAGCCGACGTCAGCTGGTCTTTCGGCGTGAGAGAATCAAGATAGAAATGGCGGCGCTGGTGGCAGGTGTCCAGTATGGTTTGTCATCGCACAACAATTTTCACGAGAATAAGTCTCTTATATTCGTTAAATTAACTGATTCCGCCCAACGAGCTATCGAGGATTTTCTCAAAAATCGGGTGAGTTATTTTTTACAATGTTGGATTATGCTTCATCATAATTCATTGGAGATACTTTAAATGTCATTGAATGGCACGATTCGCGTTCTCACGAGTTCTATTGTATCAGTGTCATAACGCATATGTATTGATCATTCATGCGTGTGTCAGGAGACTTATTGACCATATTTCGATTGAGAATCCGGAGAAATTTGATAGTATCATAGTACAGCCATTACCGAGGAATTTGAGGGAAATGGAGGAGTGACAATCATTGTGAATTACTATTTCCGTCCGTTTCATCTTTTCGACTTCTCCATTAATTAACCATTTTTTAAAGGAATAGTCATTCATTAATTTGTGGATATTGTAAATCTTTTCAGATTATCCATGAAAAGTGGAATGTGAGTAATTATCGAAAGGGTCCAACACTGAATTATGTAATATTGTGACATCCATTCACATTTTTTATTTTTTATCGAGCAGCCATCATAATTTACAATTAAAAATATAACAATATTTTTGATACAAATAGCATATTGTATGTATTCAAGGGTAGCAGCAGACGATCTTTTTCGCTTTTCTTTTGTCGTTCATCATTTTTTTCTTCTACTTGTATTTTAATGCTATCCACACCACCACTCGATAAGCTGTTTGCTTCTTGTAGGGAAAGTGAAAGGACATGTGAATGAAATTCATACATATGCTCGGCGGCACGAGGCGATTCTCGCTCTGAAAATTAGATTTTCGAGGGTTTCACTATTGAATTTGATGGTGCTAATTATGAGGTGTTGTTTTTATTAATAAGTGCCGGGTTTTCAGAGAATTGGAGGAGGTGGTATCGATGTTTTTCCGTTCCATATGTTGCAGATTTTTGGACCAAATAATGAAGAAAGAGGGGGATTGAAAGCTAGTGGGGGCATTAGAGTGCGAGGAGGCATTTATTGTCGAGGGAATAATTAGTCACTATATTCTGCATTTAAATGCCACATAGTCGGAATTTTTAACTGTTCAGGTGAATTAAATTTTTTTAGCTGTCTGGACTGTATTTGTTTCAGCCATTTTTATTCAAGAAATTCCATTGACGGTTTTCTCATTTTGGAACTTTTTTGTAAGAAAGAGATCATTAGTTTCTAGATAGAAGTTGTACGCGGATCTCGTCCCTGGCAAACATCACTGATATGTCCATAAGAATATACATAACGAGAACTGTAACTATCGAGGTTACATCCAAATTTATTTTTGTCTTCTCTTTTCTTGTTTGTTTGTCACGAAAATATTATTTTTCTTTTCCTCTTACGTCATTGAGAAATTCCACTTTCGGTTATGCGAATATTGAGAACAGATGAGAAAAACAGTAATATCTCAAATGGTGATAATTCATCAGAAATCATGAGCTAAAAACAAAATGTTTAATTCTTTTCAGGGAAATTTGCGTTGAATTGACGTTATTCAGCTTATTCAGGGATTATTGGCTGGATTTGAGGAAAAATTTCAGCGATCATTTCCTATGAAAAAATTATAAAAACTGCAAGGTTATCACTGATATGCCCAATTCTTCATGTATGTTAATAATGATTAGCTCTAGAAGGGAATGTGAAAATACATATGTTGTTGGTTGATAATTCCGTCTACTGAAAATAAATATTAAAGTAGTATAAATATAACTCAAATTTTTAAATAAATTATAAACGGGAGTTAAGAGGCAATGGTACTTATCATCGGAGTAAAAATTGGATTCCAAGTTTTTTCGTCGTCAGACGACTATTTAGCAAAACCCAAATTTTTATACTATAGATACCAAAATTATTGATGACGTGCGAATTAGGGTTTTGCTAAATAGTCGTCTGACGACGAATAAACTTGGAATCCAATTTTTACTCCGATGGTAAGTACCATTGCCACTTAATATAAAGAGAAACATTTTGGCCAAGTTTGTGATCAATCGGCAGTTTTTAGTATCATTAATAATGATTCATTGAGAAGTGTCAAAATAACAGTCTTGTGAGAAAATGAATGTTTTAAGGTTAGGGAGAAGATCAACATCTCGAAAAAATCATGAAAATCAGAAAAAAATTATAAAAATTCTATGCCCATAGAATTATTGTCTGTGTCAATTTTACGTGATAAATTATTTATCAAACAAATACCCTTCCCTGGGCCATTCTACAGTCATATCCAGCAATAACTAACACAATCGAAAATTAGATATACTTGACATTTTTTATATTAAAAAATACAATGATAGAACTGTAAATTTTGTGAATGACAGGAAAAAACTAGGGAATTCTTATGACAGATTAATCAGGTTTAAATAGTGACTAAAATTGGAGAAAATTTTATACTTTTTGGTACTTGATTTATTGGTTGAATATGTCTGGCTTGATGACTTAGGAAATATGATTTGAACTTTCTCACAACTTGATAATAATGGTAATCAACCTAGTGATGACTATAGCAAAAGTCTTTCGGTTAAATAGGTCAGGATTTGTATACCATATTCATTTATGAGTTTTTCAGTTGGTATTAAATTTTGATGATTCTAATTCGTTTAAATTTGGAAAATAAACTGAAGTAGTAGTAGTAGTAATTTATTCAAGAGATTCAAAGATCCCATCAGAGGGGTACAATAATAGTGTATATATAGTACAAATTTTGGCATAGTTATAGTTGTGCTTCTCCAATAGTCTAGGCTTATTTTTACAGAGGTATTTTCCATTCAGACAAAATCATTCCTTCCATTCAGATTGCAATCGATTGGCTCGAGTTGTCTTTCTTTATTTTCTTTGCGATTACTTACATCTTTATAGCTAACATACATACACTCCCTATAATTAATTTGCTCTGTATCAGTCAACTCCCCAATCCTTATTCTGCGTATCCCAAATTCTCTGTCTCAACGTTAACATACCGCTCATAAAATAATAAAAGGATTCACAATAGGAGGAACGAGTTTCAATAACCCGAAAAAAATCGGAGTTTGGATTGTCTGGGTTCAGGCAGTCCTGGAACATATGAGAAAGGTATTTTAAGCGTTCTTCAGAGAATGCAGTGCATTCAAATATCAAGTGACTTGGCGTTTCATTCTTTCCACTTGTGCAACAATAACATTGACCATTCAAATTTATTTTTACGATTCCTGAGATGTGGCTAACAAAACAACAGTGGATCGTTGGGAGTCTCACTTGAGCTAATACTTTTTTAACACATAGTAAATGCCTGTTCACCATATAGTTTACTATAACTTTTTTTACTATAACTTTACTATAACCTTTTTTGGAAAATAAACTGAAGTGGAATTGCGCTAAGTACGAATTCCAGGACGATAATTGTGATAAAGAGATAATTTTTGAGGGTGAAGTCCAATTTTTATTTTTTAGGTTAGAAACACTACAAATGACAGATTTATGTCATTTGCTGGTGAGGATATTTTTTAATATAGATGGAACAGATTAGGTAAGCTTGGTGAATGAAATTTTGTTTTAAATTTTTATTATTTTACAATATTTACCCCATCTTGAAATATTTATTTGTGATATTGTATTTTGTTGATTATTGTAGATAAATCAATTTGGCCCTGAAGAGTTTTCGATGAATTGTGTTAGTTATTGCTGGATATGGCCGCAGAATAGCCCACGGAAGAAGTTTTCTTTGATAATCGGAAGCGGTTGCTAAATCATTAATAATAAATAATTTATGATATTGAAGTTTGCAGATTGCGAAGAGAGAGAATTTTTGACATTGCATATCTTGCGAGAAAATGGCAATATCTGTAAAAAATCAAATTCAATGAGTCGGGTATGAAAAAGTTTGAAAGCGATAGTTCTCGGGTTGTTGAAATGTCATATAAAATTAATGATTAGGCTATTATACTAAAGAGAGATTTGTAAAAAAACAATCAACACGGAATAACTATTGCTAGAATTCGTCTATTTAAAAAACTCCAAATGTCGCATTTGGAGCTCAATAGAATCTCATTGCGATATTTTGTGATTTTTCGTTTTTTGTACCCGCGCACAACATATTCGCTGATGTGCAATAAAACTTTGACAAGCTGTAGTGCACCTATGAGGGCTCAAATTAAAAAAAAAAGTCACGTTTTAAAAATAAAAAAATCTTTTTGCGACTATTTTTAGAATTTTTTTTAACACTTCATCTATATTTTATGCAATGTTTACTTTCATGGAAATCATTAACATTAAATATTTCTGAAAATAATCCGTCAATTTTGACAATATTGCCACCAAATCCAAATCATATTGATATCTCAATGTGACTGTCTTCGAAAATGAAAGGCCGTCGTAACAATGTTGAAAATCCGAAGATTTCGACGGAAACATGCCAAAAACAGAGAATATCTTGTACAGAAATAATAATAATAATGATGATTATAATAATAATAATAATAATAATAATAATGATGGTGGGGTGGAGTGAAAGGTTATGATGGAATTCTCTATTTTTCGTGACTTTCATGATTTCTTTTTTACCACCCATAAAAAAAAACGAAATTGTTGCTAAACATAGGAAAACTAATTTTGCATGGGTAACTTATGTATGTTGAACCTCAATTATATCATACGTAAGGATGTTCTACGCCCTTCCCGCCAAAATTCACATTTTTTTCATTTTGCTGGTAAATTTACAATGGGATTGACGTGAAAAAATATACAGTTTTTGTATTTTGTCATTATGTAATGAATCACGGAGTTTCAAGTCGGTGCGAATATGTTCCTGCGTTTTTTATAAACTTTTAAAAAGAATCGTAAAACTAAACAAAATGTATGAAAATAATCGCACCACCACGAAACTTCGCGAGCCATTAAATAATGACAAGACGCAAAAACGTTATATTTTTTCGCGTCAATCCGATCGATAATTTGCCAGGAACAAAAAAAACCGTCAATTTTGGCTAAAGGGGTGTCGAACAGCCTTAACCATCATAGAGCATAACGCATCTGTGTCATTCGAAAGGACAATTCCATGCGTGCTGCAGCTTCCGTGGCGCCATCTATAAGGTT